AGCTCCCGCTGTCATCTCGTCTTGCCTCCCAACCCCGTCTCATCCTACTTCCCAACTTCATCTGCTCCTGATCCCCAGCCCTGCTCCCTGCCATCCAGTTCTGCTCCCCAGCATCATCTGCTCCTGCTCCCCAACTCACCTGGTCCTGCTCCCCAACCCTGGAAGCCTTGACCATCATCTTCACTAGCCCCGTACTCTGGTGGTCAGCCTTCCCAGTACCATCCACCCATGCTCCCCAGAAGCCCATGTACCCAACCGTACCAGCCCCTCTCCCCAGCCCTATCATCCCACTCCCCAACTCTACCAGACCCGCCCCCCAACCCTACCAGTCTTGCTTCCCAACCCTACCAGTGCTGCTCCCCAACCAGCCTTCCCTCCAACCATACCAGCCCCACTTCCCAACACTATCAGCCCTGCTCCCCCTGTTCTCCAACACTTCCAGCTCTGCTACCCCAACCCCACCAGCTCTGCTCCCCAGCACTGCCAGCCTTGCCTCCATCCCCACCAGCTCCGCTCCCCAACCCCACAAGTTTTGCCCCCAATCCTTCCAAGCTCTGTTCCTGAACCCCACTGGCCCCGGCTGTTCTGTGTTGGTCCCCAACCCCAGCACCCCGCTCCCCCCAGCCCCTGCCCACAGCCCCACCGAGCTCTGATGACCCTGCCAGAATGACAGCGTGCTCCCGAGAGGCTCTTGCTGTCCAAGTTAAGGTTTACATAAGCGGATACAGTGAATCATAAAATCTCCCAATGAATGTAACTGCTTCTCATAATACCAACGACATACGCTTACCCCATAAATCTGTCCAAGCTAATGAGTTCAGCGTTTCTGATGGCACAGGCTGAGCAGGTAACAGTGACATCAGAGGGCAGGATTGCTACGATATACTCGGGATAAGCCATACAGCACACACGCTGTGTGTGCAGCTGCCCCACGGCTGTGCTCCCATGGGCTCCCTGCACAGCCCCCCACGCTGCTCTCTGCCTTCACCAGGGGAAGCACTCCTCATCCTCACCCGGAGCCACGGAGCAGCTGAACCCCTGAGGAAGGGCCGAGCAGGAACCCCACGTTCAGCGTTTGAAGTTGCAAAGCAGAAAACTCACGCTGCCAAAGAGAACCTCATGAAAGAGCTATCAGGGAGCACTTGGCACAGCTAAAGAAAAGAAGCAGTAAGTCTGAACTTCTGTGTCATCAATAGGGATTTTTTTTTTTTTGCTGTGCTCACAGAGCTCCAAACATGGCAAGTGATCTCTCATGGAATGCATACTTCGGTGCTACATAAAAGCAGGTAGACACAGCCAAAACATACAGAACTCGAGCATATTCCCCTCTCTAACTGCCCGCTGCTCCCCCTATCAAACATTTATCATGTAAATTAGTTGAGCTGGAAGGGCTCCAATCCCTTCCAATAGAAAATGTCTGCACTGATAAAAGTAACAGAGACTAAATCACTCTTTCAGGAGCAGGAAAAAAACCGCCTCATCAGGCGAACTAAACAGGGGCTGCCCGTCTGTTTAAATAATGGGCTGCAATGTGTTACTGCAGCGCGGTCTGCGCCATCATTTCAAAGCCGATTGCGAGCCACGGCCGAGGCTGGGAGGGGACAGGAGGAGGAGAGCCCGGCGGGGGTCTGCAGCTGTGCCTGGGGTCGGGGCTGTGGGGAAGTCCTGCCGCGTCCTGTGTGAAGGACATTGCTGTGAGCGTCGTCTTTCAGAACTCAGCTGAACCAAACCGGGGCTTTGGGCACACTGTCACCCCTCATCCTGTGCACAGGGACAGATGTCTCCATCACAGCCCCGGTGCAACCCCACTGCCGTCCCTTGGGCTCCTCTGTCCTCCCTGGGTTTGGGGTTGTGACTCATCTAAACTTTTTTGCATTATGGAACCACATCATAGCATGGCCTGGGTTGCAAAGGAGCACAACGCTCATCAGTTCCAACCCCCTGCTGTGTGCAGGTCGCCAACCAGCAGCCCAGGCTGCCCAGAGCCACATCCAGCCTGGCCTTGAATGCCTGCAGGGATGGGGAGGCATCTCATTCATTTTCCTAAGTCAGTGAGGTTGATGAAAGGAGGTTCTGACTGCACGTTCCTCCCGGTGCCTGTCTGCCTATCCCTGTCCCACTGTGCCCTGAGCCCAGGTCTGCACCACTGTGACTATGCACAGAGCAGCGGGGACAGTGCTGGCTGTGATTGCGTGGATAAGGCTGAAGACCCCCCACGTGAAGGTCCCACAGCCATCAGCACTGCCAGAGCTCTGCTGAGCTCCTGGAGTACAGGCAGACAGCAGCACCAGGCGGGATGCAGCCTCCTGGAATACAGCCTGACGTCTCCAACTGCGTCAGTTTGTATCGGGGTGTTGCACAACCAAACCCTCACCCATCACCTTTCCCCCTCGTTCTAATGGGTATTTCTGCCAGTTTTCCCAGGCATGAGGTATCGAGGGGAGCCCCTCCATGCTGATGGTGCTGGGGCTGGGTAGCAGGACAGCAGAACAGCAGGACAGCACAGCTCCAGGCCTCTACAGGCATTAAAATATAAAATCTTGTATTTTAATGCATTTTGTTGCAGTTGATTGACTGCTGCAGCTATTCTGCAACAACCGCCCTTTGGTATTATTCACCATCTCTTCTGTTTCCATCTCAGACCCAACTTCCTCCTGCTGCAAAAAACAGCCGCTTCCCATAGACTGCAGCTTCACTCGCTGACCTCCATTGAGAATGCAAGACCTACAAGAGGCTCCATCAAAAAATACTTTCCACATGGAAAAAATGCCAAGGTAACCTTTTGCAGTGGAGGTCAGAAAGCCAGTCACTGCCACTCGCAGCAGTCCTAAGCCTATGGGACAGCCTGCTCCGTACACAAAGCCAGCTGTTCCCCGTGCCAGCGAGACACCTTCTGGCTTATGTACTTCCTTAAAAACCCTAACAATACACATTGTATCACCTGGAACTCAGGAGAGGATCTTCACACAGCCCATTTTTAATTACATAACATTATATTCATTATCCATCGCTGTCAGTGCCGTCATTGTTACAGAAGATAAGAAATGCTGATGAGATGGCAGATCCTCTGTTAATCATCTGAATGACAGATCATTATTTGGGAGCAGTGCAGACAGTGCTCGTGTTTACTGAAGGCTTCATTTATGTTGCTCGGCCTTCGACTGCTCACGAATAAGTGCTCACACGTGAGCAGGCAGCAGGCTGGGATATCAGCATGCACACAAAGCATTTTTTTGGAAAACAAGTGGAAGTCCTGGTGGAAGTCGTCCCTGTGGGATCCTCACAGTCCTGGGCCACAAAAGCCAAACCAGCTGAACTCACCTGCAGTGCACTGAGCCCCCAGGTGCCCTGGTGTAGGTCAGGGAGAAGAGGAAAGGGGACAGGGGACGTCCCTGGAGGTGTTCAAGACGAGGTTGGATGGGGCCCCGGGCAGCCTGGTCTGGTATTACATATGGAGGTTGGTGGCCCTGCATGCAGCGGGGGGTTGGAGCTTGTTGATCCTTGGGGTCGTTTCCAACCCAAACCATTCTATGATTTCATGATTCTATGATTCTATAATTCTATGATTCCATGATTCTAAGACAGGGGAAAAGGGAAAGGGTGAAAGGGAAAAGGGAAAGGAAAAGAGAAAAGGAATAGGGAAAAAGGGAAAAGAGAAAGGAAAAGGGTGAAAGGGAAAGGGGAAGAAAAAGAAGAAGGAAGAAGAAAGAAAAAAGAAGAAGGAAAATAAAGCAAAAGGAAATGAAAAAAGAGAGGAGAGCGTGGCGGCCTGGAGCTCGAACGAGGCACGCGGGCGGTCACGGCTCAGACAAGTCAACCAGATGCACATCACTGGCAGTGCTCCTCCAGCCCCCTTCCAGCAGAAGAACATGCCCGTGGCACACTGGGGAAGCCAGGTTCGTTACGTGCCCCCAGTCAACTCCTAGCAGCGCCGAGCATCACGGCAGCCGCGGGCAGAGCGCGTGCTCAGCAGAACAGGTCCACCAGCAGCAACACGCCGAGGCCTGCTGCAGCAGGGCTGAGCACGGGCTGCCAGCCACCCGCCCTCCCCTCCCTAATGCCTCTGCGGTTGTTTACAGATCGTGCGGACATGTTTACATATTTATCCTCAACAATGCCGGGTGAATAACTGACACTACTTAATTTATTTGTTTAATGTATCCTGTTAGCGCGTTCATGGCTGCCCGTGAGCAGGGAGCCGTTTCCTTGAATTAAGCCATTGTTCTAACAGATCCTGCAAACAGATTTGAGAAAATTGTTTTGGAGATGGGTTGGGAAATTCACAGGAAACAAAATAAAAGGAGCAGAGCACAACTGCAGAGATTCATTTAACATTGGAGGTGAATGTTCCTGAGCCTCCTAGCACTTACAGCTTGATAAAGCCCACATCCCTGTACGACCTTGCCTTTCCACATCTGAGGTGTCAACCGAAGGCCAGATTTACAACTTTTTCTCAAGCAAGGAAAAAGCCTAAAAGGAGAGCAGCCGATGCCCCACAGCAAGACCTCCAACAGAACGAGCTGCTACCAGCAGTGCACACACACCATCCCACCTCTGGGTCTGCGACACTGCTCGGGCACAGGGCTGCAGTCACCGAGTTATCTAAAATCATGGGAACGGCGGAGTATCTCCATTCTCTGTCCCCCCTCCAACATTTCATCGTGTGCAATGAAACTAATTATATCTGCTACAGAGATAAGTGCAGATGTGCAAGAGCGGCACAAAGCCCCAGCACCTGTGGAACAGGTGGAGCCAGTCCTCTTGGGCAAGTCACGAACAAATGGACGCGCCTGCCATCCTCCCCCTCCGGAGCGTATTTTGGGACAGCAGCTCTGCCCGCAGCCCCAGCTGTCCCCTCTCACGTTTCTCAGCCCCCGGCAGTGCTGGTGGGGGAGCGGAAGCAGCGCATCCCCGGACAGCGGGACGCCGTGCCGTCACCCAGCGCGTGGCTGGCGGTGCTGGAGGTGGGGTGAAGGCCTGCAGGCAGAGGGGATGCGCTCAGCTGGCAAAGCCTCGCCTGGCGATGCTGAGGAGGTGGCACCGGAGGAGACCCGGCTGCGGGCAGAGCAGGGACAGCCTCTGTGCACAGGCAGCTGAAACAAAGGAGGCTGTATTCAGAGATGATGGAGGAAGATAGAGAAAAAAAAAACCCACAGAAATGAAAGCTTTCTACTGCTAATTGTGAAAAATGACAGGAAGTGAGCGAGATGCCACTGCCAGGAGTGACGCTGGTGGTGCTGCAGTTGTCGGAGGGTTTGAGATGTGCTCCAACCTCAGGCACAGTGAGGCTCAGGCTCTACTGGGTACTTTCAGGTTTTGCCTTTTAAAAGCAAAAGAAATAAATTCATACGTGACATTACTGAGGAGTCTGGCATTGCACTCCATTTCAGAACCATTATAAGAGGCTCTAATTAAAGACAGGTCCTTCCTGTGACAAACGATGGGGATACCCAGATGAGCTGCTTGGGGAACTCAGCCACAGAACAGCGGCTGCAGAAGGGCTGAGGATGCCCACACTCAGACCAGGGCTGCAGGGAGCAGAGATTTCCTACAGGAGGACACAGGGCTGTGGAAATCAGCACAGAAGGGAGAATCATAGAATCACAAGGGCTGGAAAAACCCTTGTAAGGCCAACAGATCCCACCCCCATCCCCACCATGCCCACTGACCATGTCACTCAGTGCCATGAAAAACTGTATGAGGATGGTGGAGATCAAACCAAACTCATCCCTACAGCCAACCGAAGCACAGCTCATCTCACAGCAGAGCAGTGCCTTCCAAGTGCTGGGAGGAATGCCCACGGCTCACCCAGCCAGCACAGGAGATCTGCAGTCACCCACTGCCATAGTAGCAGTGATGTTTCTGAGTCAACAGGCGATGTGATTGCCGGCCGGCCACCGAGCCAGCTGCAGTGTAACTCGAGTGACACTGATAAGCAGTAATACTAGCCTGGAGAAATGTCACTGGGGTGGGGGTTTCATGTGAACTATCTTTAGCCAGCTAAAAGTTAATCACCTAAGCTCCCTGCACAGTCAGTGGAAAGTGACTGGGACCTCCAAAGGGTGATTCTGGTCTATTCCCGGCACACCGCCTGCGCCGGGCTGAATCACCCTCTGGGGGGGACCTGCCCCCCATCAGCTGCAGGAGGCACCTTGCCATCACAGAACCACAGACCACCTGCTTCTGCTGCCTTCAGAGCACGCCTGTACCAGCGTTAGCTTTGCAGCTCGTCTCCAGAACCACTTAGCTACTGCCTCAGCACTTCTCCAAATGGTTGCAAGACACTGCAAGACATCCCCCTCCCCCTGCCATCAACTGCCAGTTGGCCATGAGGCTTTCATCAGCCCCTCAGGCTGGTGGCCCCCCAGCCCTGACCCCTCCAACAGCCCCCATGCTGCCCCAGCATCCAAACAGGAATGCTGAAGGAAGTGGTGCCCACAACTCTCCATGGCCCCACAGCCATGGCAGCCCCCACAGCCATCGCCACAGGAGGCCACAGAACCACAGAATCATTTGGTACTGTTCTACTCCTCCAAGATCTCCAAACTCACCCCCAGCCCAACCCCATGCCCACTGCCCATGTCCCTCAGTGCCACGTCCCCATGGCTCTGAACACCGCCAGGGACGGTGACCCCACCACCCCTGGGCGGCTGTGCAGTGCTGAACACTCATTGAGGAAAGAAATTCCTCCTAATAGCCAACCTGAGGTTGTGGCTTTCAAAAACAATTTGTCCCTACAAATCTGCGCCTACTATTCCTGATTCACTCATCCTTACACACTTGTAAATGGATACCAGTGGACAGCCTCAGTGACCAAGGACAGTCTGACTGCTCCACGGCTCCCCAGATTCCTGTTGCATTTTTCAGGAATGAGCCTTTTTCCCATTGTCACCACGTCCTTCCTTTTGCTCTCTGCCTCTCTCTTTTCGCACTTCGGTCCACTGGGAAGCTCCTTGCCTCACCGCGTTGGCTTCTGCTGTGTTTCCTGATCTTCCTGCACAACAGGACGGCTCGCTCCTGAGCTCGTAACACACTGTCTTCAAAACGAGTCTGTCATTTTTAGCTGGCTGAAGTTAGGCCAAATTAATCTCATGGCAATGACAGCATCTTAAGACCAAGCAGTAACTGGAAGCCCTCAGCAGCAAACAAACGTGTTTTGTTTGCCAGGGCAGGCTGGTGAGCCCTGTTGCTGGGCAGTGCATCCACTCTGAGCCTTGACTGAACTGTGATTCCTGCCCACCCCAGGCGCTGCCACGAGGCAAAAATGAAATACTTCAAGGGAAGTCCCAGCACAAGGTCAGCCTGGAGCAAGAGCTGAGCGCCCATCAGCTGGTTAGGCCAGAACTGGATGGACCTGCAGCGCTCTGGTCGTACCCACCAGCACTGGGTGGGTCACCGGCCAGGCGTGAGAATTGGGTCACCAGGACCCACACAGAGCAGCAGGTCACCCAACAGACTGCTGACAGTGAACAGGAGATGGGCAATTGATTATTAATTAGACTAGAGCAGGGCGATCACTGTTTATTACTTTGGGAGCTGGAGAAGTCACTCAGGTCTCAGATCCCACCATCTGCTGGCTTGGGCAGCAGGGTACTGCAAGTCCCAAGAGCACTTCTGCTTCTCGGAAGAGGCAACCAAGGCACCCATCTGAGACAACCCCAGCAGTTCCATGCCAGGCTGAGCACCAGGAGTACCAGGAGCACCAGGAGCACCGGGAGCACTGCTTTGCCAACATGTGGATTTACCAAGTGTTGCTCAGAAAGAAGGACCAAAGCTTCCCAGGCCATTGCTGCAGAGAGTAGAATGTGTTTTATCATGAATCTTCATGCCTCATTCCAAAAAATAATGCCAACATCTCTCCAGCTGAAACAGAGCATTGGAAAGGACTTGGAATGGACTAGCTAACAGAAAGTCATGGTTGTGAGTTAAAGCCAGGAAGTGCTCTCTCATTTACTTTGTGAGTTAACAAGCTTCGGATGCAGAAAGCTCTAGAACAGCTGCCTACACCTCAGCTTTAAATATGCTGCCATATAAAGATGGCAGATCGAGATTCCCAGAGGAAAGTCAACACTGCGCCCTTAGCATGACAATGAGGAGTAAAAATGAGGTGTGAACACTAAGAAAACCTTAAGGGAGATGAATGGAAGTCTTCAAGAAGCCCATTTCTGATCCGAAGATAAGCCTGAACATTTAATCTGAAATGCTAACGAGGGAGGAAAGCTGAAGAAGATCTGAGGAAGGATTACCATCTATTTTGGCTCAAGGCAGTTTCTGCAGCATCCTTTCCCCCTCCCACCAGGAACAATGCATCCTGGCCGCCACAAATCAGTGGGATAAGTGACAGTGCTTTCACGGTGCCACATGGAAGTAACAAAATGCAGGAAGCATTCCATCAGATGTCACTTAGCAGTGATATCATGGGGGAATTTGGGAATGGGATTTGCCTGCATAGCAGGAATTCTTCAGTCCGGGGACAGGGGGAAGCAGAAACGGCAAGAGGGGCAGGATCTAATCTTGGCCTCTTGAACCAACAGGAGAGATTGCTCAGCTCCATCCTCACCTTGGGGAGCAACCACACGGTTTGGCATTTTGTCATTTTACTGAGCAGGCTCGATTCCTTGTTGACCAGCCTTAACCACAGGATATGACAGCAGAGGGTACCTCCCCTCCACAGGGTAACAAAGTGCTGAAGGCTGCTGATACTCATACAGGAGAGAGCTGTAGGAGGAATGCTGAAAATGATTTTTCTGTTGACGTTTTGTAAGGAAGTAAATACCTTGAATGAGTTTCTGAAGACAGATCATGGTTACCAGGGCCATTACAAATGTGAACCCCCATCCCTCCTCTGTGTGCCACGGTCCTTCAAGGGCCATGGTGCCATCTGAAAGCCAGTTTCTATCAGGGGAATCGCCCCAAGAAATGAAGATGGTATAGAAGGGCTGCAGAAAGAACATCCAACCCAGACCCAGAACTGAGGAAGAGGATCTAAACCCCAATTCCAGCTTCTTGTGCACCACGGGGAGCCCAGGTTGTGTTGCTGCCTGCCTGGCTAAACAAGAGAAGGCCAGACTGCAGTGAGATGAATGCTTGGCGGTGTGACTACAAGTGTGCTTTTCCTGAGCACATGGCGTGCATGTGAGCACACAAGTGTGAGAAAGACACTGAAAATTAAGGATGTGATTATGAAATTACCCAGCTGCCCACTTAGGACTTAGCAGCGCCGTGCGGCGCATTATCTCATGTGGCGCATGTGGGCTGGTGCAGAGAGGGCTGCTAAGCTCACACGTGCAGGGAAACCAACTTGGATCCTGGAAGCAACACTGCTAACAAGGCGCTCCACCTAAACTAATTAGCCCTGCCTTTCAACAGGCTTAATTAGGTGGGGCACCATCCTGTGCTGTTGTGGCTAGACAGCTTCCGGTGCGGGAGCCGGCTCCTGGTGGTGAGCCTGGCGCTGCTGCGGTGCCACGTGCCGTGGTGTGCATTGAGGGGCTCCTGGCCGTGCCCCCAGCAGCATGCAGGTGGTGGGGGACCTCTTCTCTCAGCCCTGTGCAAACCGAGTGCCTGCAGCCCTGCTGAAGCTCTGACACTCCTTGGGAAACCATGAGTGGACCTTCACAACAGGCTAACAAGGAAGGGACTACCTGGGCAGGAGAGCAGCACAACTGCCTTAGTTCAACAAAGGGAAAAAAGGCCGCAGAAGATGATGTTTCCATCCACATACCCAACCACAGCCACGAAAACAGGTTTTGAACCGGGTTAATAAATCCAATGTTCTGCATATTCTGTGAGAGTGAAGGTCCTGTGAGCAGAGTGAAACAAATGCTGGGTAGGAAACGGAAGAAGAACCTCAGGGATGGTGCCTGGAAGTGCTGCGCCTCATCCACCCAAAGAGCTCCTTTCGGCCACTGGCAACAGATAGACAGAATTAATTAATAAACCTAGCTCTTCAAGAGGAGAATTGCTCAGGGTGTTTAAAATGAGGGTCAGAATAAAGCCACCAAAGTCCCCGCAGCGCTGCACAGCGTGTTGCTGGTAACAGGTGAGACTTGCTTAAATCAGATCCCTCGGCTCTGGAAAGGTCACAGTCTCACACCCAGGTGTCCTCCCTTGTGTCTCAGTTGGGTTTCCTCAAGGTCTTCAATAGGAAAGAAGAACGTGGCTCCTGAAGGCATCCAGACACAACTCATAGGAGCTCTTCAGGACACACGTGAACCTTTGTGCCCGCACTGCCTGCGCTCAGCCTTGCAGAGACTGGCCATGAGGTCACCCCTTATGGTTTCAGCCACCATGCCAGACATTCAAATCATATTAATTAAAAAATACAATTAAACAGATTTCTTGTGACCTATCTTTGATGATGGAAGCTTAAAAAACTGATTTATTTTGGAATTTTGATCTGTTTTCCTACAACAGATACGTCACATACTCAAAGGGTAATGAAGTCTACCTTGCTGATTTACCTTCTCTGAACTTCTGGCCCTTATTCAGCCTCTCCAAACCAAGGGATGTGACCATCACCTTACTGAAAGACACGGATGTGGCACTGTGCATTGAGCAGAGCCACTCGGGCGTGCAGAGCGTTGTAAAAAGTGACCTGTTCTGACATATTTGGGGCTGAAGTGATACTGTGAGTAAGCCCTATCAGCCCATCTGCCACTGTACTCAGCAGCACCGTGGGATTGCTCAGTGCAGACCGTGGGCTGCTCACAGAGCAGAACCTGCAGAAACTGCTTGAGCGATCTGGAAGCACATGCAATTCAAGAAGATGTTACTTCATCCGTGATCCTCCAGCTTCTGAAAATGAGGATATCTCACTGTCGGGCCAACGTCACTCCAGTGGCTCAGTGGCGATGCTCTGGGACTTATGGATTCACGGCGAACACATCCAGACATTAACTCTGCAAATGCCCCATACCACAGAACTGAAGTCTTCAGACCCGCAGCAGCTGAAGGCAGAGATGGACCCTCCACTGCACCAACCGTTTGCACTGACTTACCCCAGCCAACAGCTGCTCGGGGCTGTGACTCAGTGCACTGCGTGTTTACCAAACCGCACGTACAGCCCTTTAAAATAATCTGTTTAAAATCACAGATGAAGTCCCACGGGTAAAAGGGTGGGGAGGAAGAGGGAGATGCCAGTATCCTACGAACCGGCATCATTTGTTTTGACAGCTTTTAATATTCCATATTAATGGCTTCACGTGCCGAGCTGCACCGTGTCAACTCTGTGTCAACTCCAAGCCAGGGACATCACACCCTGGCCACCAGCTCTTACAGAGGGGACATTTAGTTTGGATTTTAGGGAGAAATCTTTACCCCAAGGGTGGTGGTCTGAAGGCCCAGCCACCAGAACGTGGTGCAGGCAGAGGGTGAGCCCCAGCAGGCTGGGAGGGCAGGTCACATCCCCACAGTCACTGCACGGAGCCCCCCGCTGCCACAACGTATTATTTAAGACCTTCAAAATGTATTTACTTAAGGCCTTCAAAATATACTTCTTTCAGCACCTTGAACCCGATTCAGGGAAATCAAAATGCCCGCTAGATGCACGGCACGCTTATTAACAACCTTGGTGAAAATATCAGATTAAATGGACGTGGGAATCAAAATGTTCCCCACTGAAGGTCAGATACGGGTTGTCCTGCTGCAAATTACTGCGGTGGCTCCTCTTTAAGTCTCCCGCCCCATGGCACCTTTCAGGATCTCTTGCACAAGAGGCACCTCATGTTCACCTTGGCCAAAGTCTCAGCGCTCCAACTAACCGCCCTTCTCTGAAGTAATTAATTCTGTCGAATAAGTTCAGTGAAATCCACACCATTTCTGCGAAACATCTGATTTTCAGCTGCCCGGGGCTTTCCATTTAAGGCAATTTGCAATAAAAGGCATTCTAGCAGCACACTGAATTGACCGCATTTGGATGTGTGACAAAGGCAGGCTCAGAACGAGCACTGCTGCTGAAAAATGCGGTGCGAGGACCATCGCTTCCCGTCTTCATCTCTCCTGGTTCCTCATCTATAAAGTGTGATTAGCAGATCTTTGGCTCGTACCTGGGGAGGACGCTCCCACTGCACATAGATGGAAATACTTCAGAGCTTCACGCAATAAAGCTGAAACCCAGGAAGCTGCTAACAGCTCGTGGCATTCTCACAACAGGAATTTCGGGAAATACCCTGCCCAAAGAACTCAAACAAAGGTGAAGGCCCAACACGTGTGTTGGAGGAGGATCTGGATACGGACCACGGCCCGTAAAGCACCACTGCTAACACAGGAACCACGCCGGTGGGGCTGGAAAGTCGTGTCTGGATTTCTCTTCATCCAGAAGCAGCTCTGGGAGGAGGGAAAGCACATCACAAACGTAAGCACAGCCCGTGTGCTGTGCCCTGCTTCCATCACACAGACAGCATTCAGAGAATTAAAACACTGGGGTGACCACAACGTGCTGAGTGCACAGCAACCTCCCTGCACAGCTGCCATCCATCCTCTGGGCTCCGTGCAATGACGGCGACGTAAGAAAGTTTTGCAGAGTGTGGAGATGGGGTTGGGGAGCTTTCATACGTGCAGATGTTTAATTGCCTCCTGGAGGCACACACTGACAGCAGGATACTTAGACCGGAGCGTCCACCTCCAAAAGCACAGCTTTTAAAGACATTTAATTCACTGCTCAGTAACTGCCACTGCCGACGGCTCCTGGTGCACATCAAAGCCCAGCACCAAAACCCCACACCAAAACCCCATCACCAGGTGCCTGGCCTTGGCCCTGACCCCCACCCCATCCCATGGCAGGAGGCTCTGAGCTGCACACACGGTGCTGTATGCAAAGCAAAAGACATCAGCTGCGGAATCAATGCAACGCCAGATTCCGTGGGCTCCTTTTATGGCTGCTTTTTGTTTTGATTAAATGCCTGAATGCACAACCAAGTCAATCAACAACACCTTTGGACATGAAAATATACCCCATCAGGACTTATTCAGATGATTTTTAAAGCGTGCTCTTAAATCTCTGCAAGCACACCTACTCTACCAGCAAGCAAAGACCCAGCATCTTTTATTAATAACCATAAATAATTAACAGTTGTTTCCTTTCTGCCAAAAAAGAACCCCGATTACACAGCACTTCAGGCTGTCACTTACAGACACTTTGCACAGAGGAAGCAATATTACACTGAACAGCTTTACCAGCTGCACCAGGACATCACCCTTACACAAATAAGCACAACATGCTTTAGCATCAGCAATCCTCCACTCCTTCTTTTAGCTCTACCCAGAATACACGTTGATTTCAAGAGCCATTTTTACCCCCTGTGGTTGTTAACCTGTAACTGTAGAGCTAAGTGCACAGATCGTAGCCCTGCTGGGGGCGATGGGCGCTCATCACCCCCTGCACATCACCTGCTGCCCACCAGGGCTGCCATCACCCTCCTTCCATGCTCCCACCCCTGGACCAGCCGTGATGTGCTCAGTGGGAGCCCCTGCCCAGCCACGACCCGAAATTCAGCCACCAACAAAGAGCCAGAGATACTCACTTCTCCAAACACGACGGCGCAGCGGCTGACAGCAGGGATCAGAGCCGACACGACAACGCTGTGAGCATGGGGACCGGCCAAGGACAGGCTGCTGCTGCTGTTGGGAGTCGTGCAGGGCACTAACCTGGGAACAGCCCTGCACAGAGATGCAGCCTCTCACACTCCCATGGTCAGCTGTGTCCGGACACAATGCTGCAGCACAGAGCTCAGCCTCGGGGGAGGAAGAAGAGGCTTATATAGAGCTGCGGGGGGACGAGCCGTGGGTGCTGTCAGGAGCCCATGGCAGCTCTCACTAGCTGCAAAATGCTGCTGACATGGAAGCCGAAGGGGCTCAGCTCGGTGGGACAATGAAGAGCCCTGCTCATCGCTAAGGCATGCACTGCCCCGCAACCTAACAAACAGCTCCGCCTGCCAGAAGTTTGGTTTGGGTGCTTTTGTTTGTTTTGCTTTCTTCTTTTTTCTTTCTTTCTTTCTCTTTTTTTTTTTGCAGTCCAAGTACATATTTCTCAAACTCATATGGAACTGATTCAGTACGTTGAAGGCTGCGATGTCAAAATCGCACCCACACCAACTATTATCGTTCTATACAGAAAACAAAAGAAACACAGATTTTATCAACTCTGAGATTAGCGATGGCAAAGTCTTATTGTCTCCACAGAGGCCTTAAGCAATCCCGCGTGAATGGGAGCTGAGTAAAGCAGCACAGGGCTCCTGGGGCTTGACCTGCCTTTAAAGAGCAGAGTGAACACGGGGACAAATGAAAGCACCACTGGGGAGATCTCCTCATTGCCACCTTGGGCTGGCAGTTGCCTGGATCGCTCACAAAGAAAGCATCCATCAGCGAGATGCCCTTTTAATAACCTATGACTGTTTTGATGGGTTTATGCTACATAGCAGGGTGTGGGATCATCAGTGAAATCACAGAACCACAGAGCCGTTCAGGATGGAAAAGCCCTTTCAGCTCCCCCAGCCCACCCTATGCCCACTGCCCTCAGTGCCACCTCCCCGCGGCTCTGAACACCCCCAGGGATGCTGACCCCCATCCCTGGGCAGCTGTGTGGTTCTGAGTGCTCTCTGGAGAAGAAATTTCCCCCAGCAGCCCATCTGCCCCTGCCCTGCGCAGCGTGAGGCCGTCACCTCTCATCCCCTGGCTGTTCCCTGGCAGCAGAGGCTGAGGAGCTGTGGGGAGCAGTGAGGTCTCCCCTGAGCTTCCTCTGCCCTCAACGACACTGCAGCCCCCACGGCACTGTGCCCCACTGGGAGCGAACGGCCCGGAGCTGAGCACAGCACCGAGCTGCAGCCCCACCAGCGCTGAGCATGGTGAGAAATGACCACCTCAGCCAACAAAGCAGTGCTTTGGCCCCTCGTCTTCACAAACACGCAGC